CTATGGTTTATTATAAACGTACACAGACACACATGCACAATTCCTTCACCTGCTTTCAGGACTAGTTGTTGGCAGAGATGCCTGTGCATCACTTTAGCTTCTCAGCTTCTTAAATGCTTGAAATGTTCAAATCTGATGTCAATGTCTTTGTGCTCTGCGCAGTGCAAGAAAACGGGGAGAGGAACAGGCATATAACTTTCCCACTAATATCTTCTCCCGCCTGCTAAAGATAAGGAGCACCCTCTGAGCACCTCCTGCCTGTGCCAGCAGTGCCAGTCATGGGCACTGCCTCTGGCACAGGCCAGCCCTGCTGGCAGGTACTGTGCCATAATCCATTTGTCCTTGTGCCCATTCCCTGCCTCATCGTCTTCATCTCGGGTTGCCAGTTTTGTACTGATCTGTCTCCAGTGGGCCAGAAACTTGGTTCTCAGTAAGCATGACTGCATTGACTTAATTTTTGGGGGAAGCTGGTATTGAAACCTGATCTGTTACAACTTCATATCTTGTTCTGACGGAGATTTTGAAGAAATTGGCAACTTTGATAAGTTTACCACTGCTGAGGCATTTATGATGCTGCTCTTTAGCATGGACTCCTTCCAGCAGGCAGAGAGCTCACACTGTGGCATTTATCCTAGAAAAGAAATTAATGTCTCCCTTTCTGTTCAAAATGCAGAGGTGCTGGTGGGCCTGTGGGAGAGGAGAAGGTCTGACTCACAGTACTGCACTGCTGTGGGTAGACAGAACTGCCACATGCACCAAACCTCCTGTGTCTTCAAAGACTAATTACAAATGTGTGTGCTGCAGACTGGGAGGAAGGCTGGGGAAGAAGCAGGGCTTGCAGCCCCTGGTTCTTTTTCCAGTTAATACTAGAAACCCACATATTATTTCTCTCCTGTATTCAACCATATAGTTTCACAGACCTTACAGGGACTTAACTCACTCTTTTGGAGCCTTCCATCCCCTCTGTGTAATCACAGAATCATAGAATCAACCAGGTTGGAAAAGACCTCCAAGATCATCGAGTCCAACCCTACTGTGGTTACTAGACCATGGCACTAAGTGCCACGTCCAGTCTCATCTTGAAAACCTCCAGGGATGGTGAATCCACCACCTCCCTGGGCAGCACATTCTAATGCCTGACTACTCTCTCTGTAAAAAATATCTTCCTATTATCCGACCTGAACCCCCCTTGGCAGAGCTTGAGTCTGTGCCCTCTTGTTCTCCTACTGGTTGCCTGGGAGAAGAGACCAACCCCCACCTGACTCAGGGAGTTGTAGAGGGTGATAAGGTCTCCCCTGAGCCTCCTCTTCTCCAGGCTGAACACCCCCAGCTCCCTCAGCCTCTCCTCATAGCACTTGTGCTCGAGTCCCTTCTCCAGCCTTGTTGCTCCTCTCTGGACCTGCTCCAGCACTTCAATATCCCTCCTGAACTGAAGGGCCAATCTGAGAGCAAAATGAATTGAGATGTTATTAGTAAGGGCTCTTCCACACAGTTTGACTGCATAAGCCTTGCTTCTTCAGAAAAGCAGGCTAAAGCCAG